AGGAGAGCTTGCAGAACTGCTGCTTATGAAACCCAGTACAGCAGGAACGCTCAGTGCATCTGCTGGCAGCAAACAAGACACTGAGCTGCAGGTCTCGGGCAGTCCCACTTTGGTGTGCCAGATCAGGCACAATTGTAAAGGAAAAAACCATTTGGGTACAGGGAAGAGAGACTGAGCAGACCCTTCTTGTGCAAGGGCTGAGAAATTCCTCTTGGCTTCTTCTAATGTAAAAATCCAAGGAATCCTGAGGCCTGAGGGGAGTTTAGGAGACATCCAGGAAAGGGGAGGAGAGCAGGAGAGGGATGTAGGATTGTAGTGGGGACAAAAAGTATGTGCTGCAGAGACGGAGTAATCCAAGGACTTGGAGATGAGGGTGTTGGACTGCCTCCTAAAGCAGTCCGCAGACTTACTATTCATCAGAGTACATACTTGTATTACACTGTTAGTAACAGCCTAATGCAGAAGTTAACAACATTTGCACAGGGCTCAGCTCCCTTAGACTGTGAGTTCACTGCTTACATTTCCAGAGCCTTTGAAAGCAGGGAGCCAAGACAGCCTCTGGGGTACATGAGGTGCAATGCCAGTGATGGCTGCACTGCTTCAAGCCCTGTCTTGGCTATGGCAAAGAAACACACTCTGTGAGGTGGGGACTGGATTGTTCCAGAGATTCTTTCCTTTTTGTATTCCAGTTATTGGTGAATACAGGAGATAGGATCAGCTGATAAAAGCAGCCACAAGATTTGCCTAGTTCGGTGCTGAATGTATGTCAGTATCTGGTTGCAGGTGAGCTGAGGCTCCCCAAGTTTGAACAAGGCGGACAGCCATCAGTTTTGCTCATCACAGCCCCATGAGATCACACTCCCTATCTTCTCTGAGCCTCCCTCCTTCCCCGCTCATGGACAAGGCTCTAAGGTCACACCTGTCATACAGAAAACCTTGCTTCACATGAGTTGTTCCAATCTTGCCTTGCTGCTGCTGATTGCAAGCTCTCTGCTGCTGAAGTTGTGCTCCCTGGAGCAAACTTCAAGCATGTGCTAATATTAAATGCCATTTCCAGATAATAACCTTGGCTGGGGGATTTTGGCAGCTTCTGCTATTTTCTCTGTGGCCTTAAAAAGAAAATGAAAGAGGTGTCTAACTTGGTGAGGAGATCAGCTCTCTATTACACACATTTCATGCCAGGTTATTTAGGTAGCCAACTTTTTTGGTCGATGTGACTGAGTACACTTCGATGCTGTGTCCGAAAGTGAGGACTGGAGGCACAGGAATGTCTTGATTAGCACTCAGAAGCCTTCATATCCTGTCAGTCATCTGAGCTGGTGTCTGAAGGAAAACACTAGGGACACATCTATTTTGTTCCTAGCTGTTGGTTAGACACTCCAAACATCTTTTAATTACTTCCACTTGTAATTCCCATTCCAGTGGCATCAGGCCGGTTAGGAGAAGAAAGGGAAGGTGGAGCAAGGCTGAGCAGGGGAAATATCAAACGAAGCAGGCAGGGCTGAGCTTCAGTGTCCTTCTCATGCTCACTCTGAAAGTCAGACGCTGCCTCCTGGCAATCTCCTGTGTAGTGTTAAAAACTGCAGCTTGCTGTTGCTGTTCTGCAGGGTAAACTGAAAGCAGCTTCTCTGTTCATCCCCTCCTATGCTACTGGTCAAGTGACCCTTCCTGCATACGCTTTGCACATGTCTTTGGGAGCAAAAGATGTATTTCATCTCCGAACATGCATGGCATAAGGCATCTTCAGCCTCTTTCAAACCACATTGTCAGTTGGGAAGGCAAACATAGGGAAAACACAGACCACCTATCACTGACTGCACCTAAGAAATCTCTTGTGACTGGAAACCTTTTGCCTTGTGCATAAACCGACAGATGTATTACCTATTCAGCCCAACTCAATACATGACTTCAGACTGGAGTAGATTGAGCTATTGCTTTGTACAAATAATTCATCATAAAGTGAACAGTTCAAAGAATATACGAAAGGCCAGAGATAACTCAAATGCACCCCCTTGCTCTCTTAGATACCTATTAGCAGACCTATGGGGAAACGTGCTCAGATAAATATTGTTTAAAGAACGTACTGTAAGTTGTTATAACAGCAACCTTCCCCAAACAGCCTGGCTTGTATTCGCAGTATTCTTTTGGGTACAATGCTGTTTTTCAGAAGTCAGGGAGTATTCAGAAATACTTGACATTTTTTTCCTTGCCTTAAATGGATGAATTAGTGCAGAGATTTCCAGTTGGTTTCCAATGTGGCAGCTTCAGGCAGCAGGCTCGTATATCACAGCCTGAAAAAAAGGCTCCTCTGCTTTTTATAACATTTTCCCACAGTAAAGCAAATGTTTAGGAATAACACCAATTAGGAGACACATTTCTGGTTTGCTAGAACCGATAGACAGCCAGGATTGTCAGCTGGCCAGCCCTCAGCCTCCCAGCACTGACAGCACAGCGAGCATCCCGGCCAGCAAACTGGGAAAGCTGGAGCTCCTGAACCTTTTGACTCAGTTGCTGATACATGGTGTAAGTGAAATATGTATGATAGCAAGGCAAACTGCCCATTCTACTCTATTTGTAGAAGAGGTTTCAAACTGAAAGAAGAAAAAGCTAATTTAAAACATGCTTTAATTTCAAAGGGATCAGGCAGGACCTAAGTTCTATTCTTTAATCTTGTTCATTTTCCAGTATTAAATCACTGCAATTACTGAGTTTACCCCAACACCTGAAGAGTTATTTGGATTGGTCATACATTAAAATCTTCTTAATGATAACATCAGGGGGTAAAAGATACTAAATTTTTGATGCAAGATACAAGGTGTTGCTAGTGTAAAAAGTCTTTGCAGATTGTTGTTTTTAACCAACTCACTCCATACCCAAAACGTGCCCACTGCACAGTAATTACTACATCATAAGTTCTGAGAAGAATGATCCTAACTGTTACTCTAAGGAGTAACATAAGCTGTGTCATGAGCAAAAAGAAAGTGGAAATGTAATGTTAGGTGTGGAAGTGTCTTAGTAAATTTAAAGGTGCATAAAAGATTTTGAAGCTGTGTTTTATAACAAGGCAGGAAATTATTGGGATGATATTTGCAGGTCTCTTCACCCTGATAAATACCCACAAGGATTGAAAGCACAGCGTCAGGAGTAGAGAACTTCATCCTTTTCATTCACATTCATCCTTTGATCTGGATGGATTTGAAGGCTATGGTTAACTTCTGTCCTCTGCCATCCCTGGCACACCTAGGCAGCCTTGGCCAGCCGCTGAGCAGCATGCGGAACATAAGGACACAGAGGTTGCAATCAGCTGCTACTACAGGAGGAAAGGACACCCAGACTCCTGTGCTGAGGACTGGGTTGAGCTGAGAGAGTTTTGGGGACCTGCAAGGTCCTAACAGGGGATGGATCCCCTGCACCTCACTGCCCTCCCACAGCACATCAGGTACTGAGCATCCTTCGCACTTGTAAAACCTTCTATCTGCATTGCAGAGGAGACTGGCTGGCTTTGGATCAGTCAGGTTCTTCAGTGCAACCCTGCCTAAATTTGACCACAAAGATCTCAGAGCAGGATTAACCTACAGCCTGCAGAACAGATCTGTGCCTTGGGAGGTCAAACAGAATATAGCCGAATTCATTGCTGGAGATGAACTTTGAGGGAAAGGTGGCGGAGGAGTTAATACCTCGATAATATCAGAGCTATCCAGAATCCTCTGACTTCCTGGCCCTGTTTCACTTTGGCTTCCAGCCTAATTAGGGCACACTGAGACTGTGCTAACATATTATCTTTTCCTAATGATGGACAAAGGTCTGACATCCATAATCCTGCTTCCAAATCCATCATCAGCCTTTGCCTACAGGGACAGCTAGCGATGTGCTTGCCTTCCTTTCCTTGTCACAGGATGCAGACATTGCCTTCTCTGTGCCTGGCACTGATAGGAAAGTTAATCTGGACCAAATTCCAAAATTATTAGGACCAAAATTATTTGGAAGGTAACCTGGTACGTGAGGATCCAACTAAGCCCTGAAACATGGGCAGCATCTCCAGCCAGGCTTTGCACCTAGCTCCTCTAATGGCACTGTGCTCCGCTTCATCCCAGAACCTCAGGAACACTTGTGGCAAGACACTTTTCCGCCTCTCTCCCAACTACTTGTCATTATCTTGCTGTGATCCATGAAAGTGATTTACACCTTTGTGGAATTTGCACTGCCTTTCTGGTAATACGCTTTCCGTGGAAAGCTTTTCCAGGCTACTCTGACACTGAACCTGACGCAGCGTGCAGCTGGCTGCTCGCGCATGTGTCAGCAGATGGAGCATGCCATGGGAACCCTCCGAGGGCTGCACAGCCTTCCTGCACTGCTCCAGGTGCAGCTCAAGGTGTGGGCGCCGGTCTCTGCACAGTGTGGTATGGGACTCTGTGGTACATCTCCTCTGGGTTAGCTCAGGCACCGCTACCAGGGTTTCTGTGGTAGAGCAGCTCCTTTCCACCCATGCTGCTTACTACTTCAGTTTTTAATCTGGATGAGCCCTTTGGAGCACAACCTCAGGCTTAGCTCTTTATTCTTTAGGTAACCGTGGGGAAGGTACTGTAGGGGACATGTGGAATTCAGTAGGGCTAGTGCTTGCAAATCAGTTCCTTTCTGCAGAAGGAATACGTTAAATCCCTGAATGAATGCAAGAAGCTCAAGAACAGTGATGTTTCACAGGGTTTCCAGAAGCTATCCTCTTGATATTAAACTACAAGAAGATTATAATATGCTAAAGAAGCCAGAGTCTGCTGCTGTGAAATACATTCTCTCTATATATATGTAAAAGAAATAACCATTACTGTCATAAGGAATCCCCCAGTAAATAACAGACCATCTCTCTTACACCATGTGCAATGTCCTGAATGAATAGTGTGGTAATCCAGCAAAATCCGTACGCTTAATGAGATAATCAAAACTCATACGGCAGATGGAAAAGCTCTTCTAAATCTCATTAACCTGCCTCTTGGCTTTTCCAGATATAAACCCGGCAGTAACTCCGGGGGGACACAGCACACTTGGAGTGGGGTGAAGGACGGCTGGAGAACCGGGAACCTGACCCAGCGCCTGGGCCGAGGAGGGGACAGAGCTGCATGAGGAGTGAGTTAGGCACTGAGCTATGAAAGGTGGGCGCTTCCTGCGCGGGCTGCAGCCGCACAGCCCCGGTCCCCACACGGCTCCATCACCCCATCCCCACCGCTCCCGGAGCCGGGCCATCCCCATCAGCGCTCCCGCCGGGCGCGGCCCCGCGCCTGCCCGCTGCTCCCGAGCGCCTCCTAGCGTTCACCGCGCACCACTGGCCCTGAGGTGCGGAGCGGGCGGGGAGCGCCCCGTCACCCCCGAGGTAACGGCGAAATGACGGTGTGAACGGGTCTTACCGTGCACCAGGAGCAGCCCCTGAAGGGCGCAGACGGCCAGGGCGGCGCTCGGGCCGGGCAGCATCGCCGGTGGCTGCGGTATTCCCTTGCGAGGCGCGGGAGGAAAGGTCCGAAAGCCGGGATGAGTTTTCTTTCCAGCAACAAGTTAGTGGAGGGCTGCGCGCTGGAGCGGGGAGGGAGGGGAAGGAAGGACGAGGCGTGCAGGAGCTCCCACTTGTTGGTTCCAGTTAAATCGTTCTTTCCATTCACTGCTTCATCCTTGGGCTGCGGATTTTGTTTCCTTTCTTCCCGAGGTGCAGGTTTTCACCCTTTTCTTCCCCCTTTCACAGTAACTTTATTCCTCGTTCTCTATTTCCCGGGGTGGCAGCGGCAGTGGTGCGCAGCCTGAGTAACCCGAGGGGTTAAAAAGCAGAGCAAAAGCACCACAAAAGTTTGGCACAAACTTTCCTCCTGCAGCCAGCGAGCCGCTGCTCCAAGCAGCCCTTCGCTTGGAGTTCGGGAGTTCCGCAGAGCCTTCCCTTCGCTGCGTGCCTCCAGCGAGGTGCAGGTGCCGCAGGGATCGCAGTAAGAGCAGAGCTCTCCGCTTCAGGACGAGAGGCAGCCCCACGTCCCCCTTCCTGGCTACCTGCCGGGGGCCACCCCGCAGCGCCCGGGGCTGACAGCCGGCAGCCAGCGGGGCTTGGGCATGGCCAATGCCCACCTAAGGTGCTCTCCTCTGCCTCCCCCCACCCCGCTGGGCTCGGTTTGCTTTCGCTGGGAAGTTTGATGCGATTCCGAGATACTTTATAGGGACAGGAAAGAAAAAAAAGGAGGAAGGAGAGACGTCACGAGCCGAGGCAAGGGGACTTCACTCGCCCTCCCTCCCTGTCATTTCACAGAGCTCCTGGATTTCCTGTTGCTGCTGCCTGGGATGGGGCAAAGAAACGAGCCGAGTTGTTCCCCGCTGCTTCCCTGCATTGCCTGTCCCTGGAGCTGCGTGAGCATCAGGTGGCAACACCTTCCCCCAGTCCTGTCCCTGCTTATCCCAAAGGTGGCCAGGGTGGTGGCATCTCTCTGGGGCTCCAGGGGATGGGAAGTGCAGAGGGACACCACCTGAGAATCAGACTCTCTTGCAGGAGTGCTGTCTTTACTCCCTCTCCCTGGTTATTTAGCACTTTGTGATTCCCTCTATGCCACTCAGTGTATCCTGCTGGAATGCCACCTTTGTCCTCTCTGTACTTTTTGTGGCAGCCACTGTTGGGTATCTCTTATTCTTGGAGCACAGAGAAAGTTTCTTGTTTGAAGAGGCTATTTCAGGCAGCCCTGATGGTGTTATATAGCACAGCTGCCTCCCTCATCTCTAGCAGCAGCAGCTTCTGTGTCACCTGAGCATTATCTCCATGCATTTGGGTGTGGACAGATCCATCCACGTGTGCAGGCTTCCAGCCTGTCCATGCCTTTGCATGATTTCAGCAGGGGGGAGCACTCCCATGTTGGTGGGGACAGTGTGGTTTTGGCAGGGGACACACCACTGCTCCCCCTTTCTCCTGTGCCCTGGGAGACCTCTGTCTTTTCCTGGTTCAGGGCTGCTCCAGCCGTAAGTGCCTCTTGGGCCAGAGCAGCCCCAGCTGTGAGGGTCATAAACAGGGCTTGATTGGTGCCAGGTGCCCTGGGAGCTGTCCTGATGAGCTTATGGAGCACCTGTGGAAATGCAGCCAGCACTCAGGTGTGATGGGGACAGACTGATTCTGTGCTGCTGCAGTGCACATACCAGCTATGGGGCTCACAAACCACTGCCCTGTGCTGCTGAGGAGAGTGGTGGAAGCTCTGTGACTGCTCACACAGGTTGTCATTCCCAGTAGTGCCACAAATGAGACATGGGTTAAATGACAGTAAAGCGCTGTCAGTCCCAGTGGCTGAATGGTGGGGTTTGTTTCCGTGGTTTTGGTACTCTTGCTCAGTTTGTTTTCAAAAGAAGAGAAAGATTGTGCCTTCTCTGTGTGTGTATCAGGGGTTCCAGTGACACTGAGCTGTGACCAGGCTATTAAGAAGTTTTTCATGCCTCTGTTATACACTTCTAAACTATTAATACACATAACAAATATGTGTGCTATAAAATGCATTAGAGCAAAGTGAGACATGAATATGGTTCTGTGAGTACAAATCCATATGTTATCCTTGCAGGACAGAGGGCCAGAATTGATAGCTGGTGTAGAAATGTCCCAGAGTCAAACAGTGAATTGCACACAGAGTAGCCTCAGGTATTTCCAGTTCTGTGAACATGAAGCATCACTTCTCATGCACAGTGTTAAATCAGGAACGCTTTTCTCAACACCACAGGATGCCATCTCTTAATGATGTATATTTCCATACAGCTGCCCAGATCATTCTGAGATGACAAATGCATTTTCTATCCCTAAAATGAAGTTGTAGAACATACAGCTTCCCCCAGATCTGTATTACAGTAATGGACTTCCAAGTAATTAAGCAAAGCTCAGTCTTACAGGGAGCTTAACTAAGGAATAAGCATTCTACCTTATAGAGCTGTCCCTTATTTTTCATTCACATGGAGGTGTTTAAGGATTCATTGGAGGTCAGTGACCAGCTGCTGGCAAACCATGCTATGGTTGTGTAATGCCCCACATAATCTTTTATCTGCTGATAAACTTAATTGAACTTTTAATTGAGATGAAGTGCCTCTGGTATGTAGTTTCACCAGGAATTCTGTGTGAGAACGTGGCCGAGTGGGCCTGGGAACCCTTTTTCATTCTTGATTTTCTCCCTCAAAATATGCAAAATGAGAAGTACAGTTATAGGAATGGCACAGCTTGTTCCTGAGCATCTTCATGTGCCTGTGGCAACCTCTCAGAGTCCTAGCAGACTTCCATAACACAGCAGCATGGACTGTTCATACAGACGGGAGAAACAATTCTCTAACTGGACTAGAACCTCTTCATTATAATACAACTCATTTTGCCATGACAGTTATTACAGCCAAGGAACTCAAAGTTCTTAACTAATATTAACAAATGCCTTAGCCTCACAATACTCGTGGGAATTGAAATAAGGCTAGAAAAGGTCATTTCATTTCCAAATGGAATGCTTTTAGCTTTGCAAAGGCACCTGGCAGTGTTTGTTGTCTAAGTAGAATAATAACAGTGAGGAGATGGAGGTTGCTGTGTCTGGTGGAAATACTGGACAACTGGGATGCAGAGAAATAACATGTAAGAGCTTGGCCTTATCAGTATCAGGGCTATGGACTCATGCATTGTGAAGCACTGTGTGTTTTGTAGGACCAAGGCAGTGTAGTCTATGAGACTAGAGACTGCCCCAGGGAGTTGCCTAGGCATCCGCTGGAGTATCTTCCATCCTTCATGGCATTGGCCTGACGTGGAGGATTACATGTGTCAGCCCCTTCTGTCAGCTTGGCAGGGGACGAAGGGCCGGGAAACCCTTTGCTTTGTCTTGCTTCTCTGTTGGTGCTCACCACAAGCAGTCATGTGTCTAGGGAATGCAGCAGAGGGAATGGCTGTTGATCAGAGCAGGGCCTGGAATTGCATCCTCTACTGTGTGCTGTCTTTAGCTTTAGCCAAAGGTAAAATGTGTCCAACCTAAACGCAGCTGTCCGCATGCTGGGTGTCTGATGTGGGCTGCTCTGCTTTGTGGCTGCGGAGATGGGCTCTTCTGACTCATCCCATCAGTGCAAACCTCTGGTTTACAAACCTTTGGCACATGCCTGTTTGCCTCCCTCAGGAGTAGAGGGAACAGACAAGTTTAACCTATATATCTACATTTGATATGGGTAATTCTGCCCCGTGTCCTCAGGTAGAGGTACTGAGACACAAAGACAGCCTTTCCTAAGAGCTTTGTGGAGACGGTCCTGACCAGAGGCACGTTGTGCGGGATGGAGCTGTTCTCCAAAGCAGCTCTTGCCCTCTCAGTTGGGGGGTGCTGATATTCACAGCTTTGTGCTAGGCTAGTGAGTGCTGGCTTGGGCTGCCAGAGCTGAGCTTCGCCTACGGAAAGAGAAGAAAGCAGAACAGGGTAAGGGATTGAAAGACTGTGTTAATGTTTGTCTGTGTAGTGACTACCTTTAAGGACAGCAAGTTGGCAGGCCCATAGATTTTCACTGCAGGACCTAGAGCATCTTTTGGATGGAGAGATTTCCATGCCCTGTTAATTCCAGTCCCTGGAAGTGGTGGTGGAAACAGACACTGCTAATTTGCCTTGCAATTTATTGCATTGTTCTGGGATAAAATAGGGCACGTCCTATGAATTTGGCTATCATTTATTTGATGTATAGGGTGCCAATTGATTCGGAGAAAACTCCAGGAGGCATATGCTAATCTCCAGGACAGGTGAGGTGCTGGCTACATATGGGTCTCTAAGCCAGTAGACAGAACTAAAGCTGTCACTTTGTAGGATATGTAGCCTATTCCCAGTCCTGCATCCCTCACACAGACAGTAGCATTGCCACAGTAGCTGCCTTAATCCTGTGGAGAGCTGCAAAGCCATCGCTGGGTGTGCCTCTCTCCACAATCTGCTCAGGCTGTCTTTTATGCACACACATCCTCCAGTCCCTTGGGGATCAAAAGACAAGTTCACATTGGCAGTCTGTGAGCAAACAGGGTGGGGAACTTTGTGATGAAAGCATTGTTCACTGGAAAATGGCATGTTATGAAAACAGAAACCTTCTGTGGGAAGTCTCAGTTTGGAGTAACTTCAGCTGGGGATGCAGTTTCTAGGGAAAGCAAGCACCATCCCGGCCCTGCCTGCAGCTTGGTGATCTGCTGTGGGTGCAAGGTCTGGTTTCAAGACACAAGCCTGAATTAGGTGGGAATACCGTGCTCATACATCTAGCAGGAGTCCTCTGTGCAGCAAGTCCATTGGCTCTCCTGTGGCTGTTTCATGCACCTTCTTGCAGACACGTTTGCTTCCTTATTCCTTTGTTTTGAAAAATACAGGAGAAAAAAAAAGGCCTCAAGAAAACCCCATTTGCTTCAAACACAGAATGGGAACAAAATGTTTCTCTAGCTGGGAAAAACATTTCCTGCACAGCTTTGTTCAAATACACAGTCGTGCACAGGCGGTTAGAAGCCCAATAGCCAGAGATGTGGGGCCAGCAGAGCCACGGGCACGTTTCTGGTGACTTGCTTCTCCTCTGTGGGATGGCAGCTTCAGAGGGAAGGACAGGAAGCACACGCAGTCATTAACAGTCTCTGTGCAACTTTCTTCTTTATACAAGAAGGGGAAACAAGACAAAAGGTTTAATGAATCACCCAAAGCCACGAAGCAAGGCTGGAAGAAGCCTGTCAGTCACTTAGGGCAACAACAAAGCAAAAGTGTAAGTAAAGCAATATACTGCAAGCAATTTCTTTCTTGAAACCTGTCAGAAATGAGGAGTTTTCCTCTGATGTGACCTTTTATCCATCACTGGCACCATGCTGGTGGGTTCTTTCCTCGCTGTCTGCTTGAGGCTTGTCACTGCTTGCATCTGTGCCCCATTCCCAGCCTGATCTTCCCTTACATAGTCTTTCTTGCACTAGTGCAAAACCACTGGGGACATGTCTGAAAAATTCTTAAACACATGTGTTCATACACCAGAGGACAGCAGAACACTTCATCCTTCTGCTAAAACATGGGAGATTAAAGGGTAAAGACTGTTCATCTCCCATTATATGCTGCTTTGAACCGTAATCTGTTGTTTTAAGGTTTAACATGGGAGGAATATGTGATGTTCCATCTCTTTGTGTTTCCTCTCCAAGGTTGTTTTTGAACATCTCCTTCTAGCTCTTTGACTCGACTCCTTTATAACTGAGTCTGCCTGGGGAGATCCTTACAGCTTATAAATATAATCTAGGCCCGGGGCCCATATGCCTCATAGGAAGAATTAACTGGTTTGGAGCAGGAGACAGACTTGTGAGCCAAGAGTACAAAACAAGAGAAATGGTGGGGAAAACAAATAGCCATCAACAAAGAGAGGCAGGCACAGCGTTTGATAGCTTGTT